AGGCCAATAATGTGTAAACAGATAATAGCAAGAGCTGTGTGGTTCATAATTAATTCAGAGGAGATGGCATTTCTGCCTCCTTCCCGCTCTGGTCAGTCATTGAAGACAATTTGCCTCTCAGCCTGTGTGAAGGACCATATTTCAGAACTAAATCCTTCTATTCCCATCAAGACAGCACTAATGTGGAGTAATAAAATAACAATATTTACATTTACTGGACGCAAATGAACTGCAGTTGGAAGTTCAGCACGGCTTTGAAAACAGCATGGGCGCGTTCACTGATCCTGTAAGCAGAGGTTTATCCAGGATAAAAACCACTGAGGGTCTCAGGTGCTTGGGGTGCCCTTTCCCTGCCCAAGTAGTTCCCTCATGGATACATCTTTAGGTCCCCCTTTGTGCCCAAGGTCGTTGCCGTGCCAGGTAGAGCAGGATCCCGGCCAGCCTGGTGGCTCCCAGCTCAGCCCACGGTATGTGTACCAAATTGGCAGCTGTCAAAATTGTTCAGCTCCCAAATGCATCAGACACGGCAGTTAATGGCCCAAACTGAAAAACAAGGGAAGAAACACAAGATGTCTTCAGCTCTAACACCCTGTGCTGCAGGTGGAGGCTCGGGCAGGGCAATCTGCCCCACCTTCAGCACCAGCAGCCTCTGCAGCCAGGTCTCAGCTCCATCAGTGCCACCAAGACACAGCTCTGCCTTCACACAGGAGTTTGACCCAGCCCTGGCACATGTTTAAGGGCAAAAATAATTCATTTTATGACCCTGCTGAACTTCCAATTAAAACATTCACATGCTAGGACTTTAAAACACATTTTCTTCGAGTAACATTTGCACTAGCTCAGAAAATCCCACGCTGCGTGCTCTGAGCACACCATGAAGAGAGAGGCTTCATTCTGGATGCTGAACAACGTCCAGTGTTTGAGAGGAGCATGTTTGCTTTCTGGCAGGGTACAGCTCTCACACAGACCCCAGCAGACACAAGCATTGAGAATGGATTCACGCAGTCACCGAGGCTGGAACGTTACCATTAGTGGGACAGTGCTAAACGCAGAAGATACCCTGTCTAAAAATCTTTATTTTCAGCGCAGAAACATGGGATAATGACAAGAAACCCGTAGGGAATATTGCAATTTCCATAGCTTGTGATGTTAATTACAGTCATTATCACAGAGTTTAAAAAGTTCTGCCTGTTTTTTTGTCCTCTGCTCGTGGTGGCTGGGCATGAGATGAACTCAAGGTGCAATAACAATGCTTAAGCAAAAAAAACCCTTAAACTCTAAATCCCATTTATTTTCAAACACTCCTACCTGAGGTTTCCAGAATAGCTCAAAAAGCCCTCTCCTGTGTACACACACATAATCCAAGACACATTCTTTTCTAAAATGACTCATAATCTTTGAATGCACAGCAACAGCAGAGCAGCATTGGGTTCTCAATGGGTTTTGTTCTTGGATTCTACATATTTAATTATTTTCTTTTTTTAGATTTAGCTCCTTTCCCCTTCACCTCTTTCACCACTCTTCTTTTGATATGAAGAAATTTCCAGATATGAACTGTGAAGAAGACTCGTGTTCAACAAATCTGTCCATTTTTGTGCAGTAACACACAGCTCGTCGTTGGCCTCCCCCCCAGTTTTGGACTGGTTTTATCCCAAAAACTTCAGTGAAACAAACAGAATGCCTCCTAACTCATGCACCACTCTGGCTGCACGGTGTTTGTATGGCCCAAGGCTGGATCCAAGGGTCTATAACAGACTGCACCTTCTAAGGCAGTCGGGCGCACTGAGGAGGATCTGTGAGCCATCGGCACCACGATGACGGGACACACAGGAATTCTGGACTCACCTGAAGCTCTTCCATCAGCAAGATTAACAAAATCAGGGAGAGAAGGCCAGGTAATTGTCCTGATACTAAAATAACAAATTAAAGAGAATGCTGGAGCTGGGGCTGCTCCCACACAAACGCTGCCCACTCACCCACAGTCTGGTCCCCGTTTCCCACTCTCGGTCCAACCAGCCACTCTCCACAGATTCCCGTCCAAAGGAGAGGTGGGGAACCTGCCTTGCCAACTCACACATTACAGCAGATTGCCTGCTGATCACATCTTTCCTCTTCCAAAAAACAACTCTAAACAAATAAAGGCATAGTATTTGCCTGGGACAGCTTCCACAAACAGCAAAAAGCTCAAACAGAAACACTGGCCGGATGAGAAGGCTCTTCCTCTCCTGGTGCATTTTTATACACATCAAAAATTCTTACAGAACCATGACACGTCAAATGTGAAGTATTTACCCGTCTGTGCTACCCTATTTTATTTTGAATTAATCAAGTGCCACTGTAGCGATCAGGGAATCTTCCTTTTTCCCCGTAAATTTTTTATTAGGCACCTCCTAATCTCTAAATATTTAAAGCTTTATTTGTTTGACACATTGGATTAATTGACTATTAATACAAAACCTCCCACAAAGAAGCTGCAGATACGGTACCTCAAGCTGTGATTTCTTCCCTTCTCACAGCCTAAGGCCTCAATTCTGCAATTACACACATTTATCTGTAGTACGGTGCAGAATCCCAACGGGACGACTCGCAGTGGTGAAGTTAATCACATTTGTGAAGATCCAAGTCCTGCAGTTTCGGCTTGGGACTGTATTTGGATGAGACATCTTCAGGGAACCGAGATCTGAAGAAAGCAGCACATGCAGTGCAGTGTTTGATGCCTCTTCGTGAATAATGTCACGGTGATAAACCTGAAGGCAAAGGTGGACCTGGAATTCTGGGTGGGCAATGCCCAGGGACGGCTTCCTGACTGACACCAAAACCCTGCACATCTGGAGGTCTCCACCTGTAAAATCAGTGACACTTGGATGTACAGGACAAAAACTCTGGGGTGACTAATTTAAAGATGTCTCCACGGTGATTTTCAATCTTTCTGTGGAATCCTATGGAAAAGAAGTGACTATGGGCTGTTTAATATCAATGAACCAAAGCCCCGTGAGAAGCTGTAAACCCCCAACCCTGTACCCGTCAGTCCTTCTAATTAATCCCACTGTCCTAGCAAGCTTAGTGTATCTCTCAATCCATTTATCAAAAAATCAAGCATCCCAGTGCACTGTTTAGGAAGGCAACTGTGCCACAAAGTTCACTGTGCCTGTGCTCTCGTGACCTGATGCACTTGAACCTTTTGGTCCTTAAATTTCATTGAACTCCTGGTCGTAAATTGTTTCTCCATGAAGTTTTAACAGGTTTTGATCCATGCTGTGATTATTTTTCATGTACTGGTGGAGGGCTCACCAAAGTCACCAGTCCTTCCCTCTATCCACTGGGAATACAGTAACTCACAATTATTCCCTCTGTCTGAGGGACAGCAGGACATTTTCCACTGAGACTGCACTGAGTGTAGGCTCTGCATTCTGCCCTCAGCAGAGGATGCTCCTACACCTTCAGACAGAGTGTGGATCCCAGCTCAGGCAGTTTGCAGTGTCTGATCACTCAATTAAACCTCCCTCTGCTCCAATTATGTTTCTCAGACATCCACTGCCCCATCCCTCACAAACACGTTCGGGGCATCATCGATCTGTAACGAGGCCAAACTGGCTGTTCAGGAATAATCAAATTAATGTGGACTCGAATGACTCCCGTGCACACATCCGAGCAACAAAAATACTGAAACAGGAGGCAAAATTTTTAAAAAATAACCTTCAAAGCTTCCATTAATTCTTAGAAACAGGAAGCTTTTCCACACTGTGTTTGTGAACAAAAACCTTTGCCCTGCTGCTGCTTTAGGCCAGGCAGCACCGCTTTGCCAGTGTCACTGTCACTCCACCACAGCCACAAGGCAAACTGGATGCTCTGGGGCTTCTGTTAATCAGATGCAGATTGAAGAATTTTTAAACACAAATTCACCAATTCAGGGAAAGTAACTGCCTTAATGGGAGTAGTTCAGTTATTACTCAGCACTGCTGCTTCTGTTACTGTGCCTTTGCACACCAATTCCTGCCTAAGCTACAGCATTTTACTCCACAGCTCCTAAGAGTCTTGACAACACTCTCAGCGCTCGTTTAAAACCCAAGAGTGCAGCTCCCAGAGATCACAGAACTTCACAAGGTGGGAGGTGTAAATTGATATTCCTGTTTCAGTGCATTGAGGCTTTTAGTCATGACTGTTGCAAATAAACAGCGTTTTCTCTTCTAGCTGAAATAAACTTCCACTGCTTTCCAGGCAACACTGAGCTGCATTTTGGTATAGGATTTGGAGGTTTTAATACATATGTAATGCTGGTTGGAATTATGACAAAGGGGTTGCAATTTTGCTGCTGGAAGAAAAAAAAAAAGACCTGTTTCTTGACTGTAGTCATCCAGCCTGATTTACAGAACATGGTATGAAATTACCACCACATTAACACTTCCAAAAGCAAAGCCAAACTCCTTTAAAACCAGCAGTGTAGGAGTACGTGGAACCTCTGTGCTACAGACACGAGACCTGCCCAGGTGGTGCACAGCCAAGCCTCAAAGAATAACCCCATTAAATCTGCAGGCATGTTTTCTTCTGCTGGTGATTAATTTTTTCCCCAAGGGAAACTAATGGGACACCTCTTTAATTACTGGAAGGTATTCAAAACTATATTACAGTGTGTGAATCTAGGACAGATTTAGATGACAACATTTTACAACTCGGTAAAATACCGTCTCCCTGAAAAGTAAGAGTTATTAGGATACATTAGCACCAAGCCTGGTTCATCCAGGTGGTGTTTCCAACTCCCCTGCTGGTTTAAAGGGGGACTTTTAGCAAAATAGTTACATCTGTTTCCCAATTTATAATTGGCAGCTACCAAAAACTCTTCCTCATACAACTGAGGACACACAGAATCGAGTTGGTGCAGAAGCAGAGACATCCCGTGGAGACAGTTATACCACGGAGTAACTGTTTGTAAAGTGCATGGTACCATCAGCAGAGACCAGAAGGAAAAATGGCCTAAAAAATGAGCCCTTGGAAACAGATAAAGAGTGAGAGCAGAATGTCTTGCACTAAGGTTATGTATTTAACAGTTTTACATGAAATATTCATATATAAAAACTTTGTTAAGTGCTTTTCTCCAATTTAAAAATCTAAAGAATTCAAAAATAAGGCATTCAATATTTGAAAAAGTACAGATTTACAAAATGTGTATATTCTGTCATGAAAACTCCACACCAACATTATACACTTGGAAAAAAAATACAAACAGGATATATTACAAATTTATGTAGCAATAACTTAGTTCATATCATGCAATAAAAAGGACGTTAATCGAGATACACAAGCTTTTAGCTTTCCTAAACTGGAGGGCTTAATTTTGTTTGCAAATGAGGTTTTATGCAAATTCATAGAACTGTGGCACTTGAAATTTCTGGTAGCCTTTCTACTGAGAGTTAAATTGTACATAAGGATTATGAGGATGGAGAGTAACACAGCAGCTGTTACGAATCATTCCAACTTTGTTCCACAATGGCTGAAACTCTTTTCTCATATTCCCGTTTGTTCTCCTGGTAAAGCTGTGCTGCCTGACTGTTTGCTGGACTGTTTGGATTGGGTTCATCAAGCAGAGACTGCAAAGAGGGGAAAACATAACGTGAGACAAACCAACACATTTAAATCGGGGAACATCGAGTTACAACTTCCAAGTCAAATGCGTTTCACAGGGCAGACGTGACTCAGAAGGGTCAGATGAGTAAAACCTGGTTAAACTCATGGAAGGGCACCCCTAATTACATTGCTGAACCTCTAATTACACCCTGCTTAAGCACTAGTGCTGCACACACTTGTAGGTTCACAAGCCTAAGAGGGACAGGGCCCTTTGTGCCAGTCAGCACTATGAAGCTAATTGACTATTAGATAATTACCCAACTATTGGCATTCAGGACTGAAGAGGGGCTTAAGACATCTCCTACAAAACTTCACTGTAGAAAAATACAAACAATCACAGAGGAGAAAAGGAAATGTGCTTTTCTGCTGTGCCAGGACATTTTCACTTATTCCAAGTTGTAGGTTCCAGCAGTATTGTCCCTTCGAGGACTTCCAAGGGCAGAGCTTCATGATAAAGGTTTGTGTTTGAAGCACTAGGCAAATTTCTGCAGCTGATGGCCCATCTTGACTAAAACCAGTTAAAAATGAACCCAAACCAGTTAACTGCTTTCCTGCACAGAAATGCATAATGGCAGTTTTGTAGCTCAGGATCAGTAATTATGTAGATCAGCATCTCTGCCTTTATTTGATCTAAAAAGCTACTGCTGAGCTCGCAGGGGTTTGAAGTTCCCCTGGATACAGATACCTGGTTATCCCCATCACTGAGCTGGGTATTCTGGAACAGGGACAACATCGTCACTGTTTGGTAAAGCAGATGCAAAGTTACCTGAATTGAAGTTAAAATAGAGGAAACGTCGTATGTCGGACTCCAGCGGTTCTGAAGGATATCTAAACATATGCTGCCATCGGCATACACTGCAAACACAACAGAGAGCATTCAGAACCCGGCAGATTTACGGTTCATTACACACTCTTCAAGGCAGACTTATTGTTCCAAAGCAGTCTCTGCTTAAATTAACGCTTTAGGAAAGGGGACAGCAGTTATGTTCTCACAAGCTTCTGTAGTTTGACATGTTGTGTTTTGAAGATTTATTACTGGAATTAACAGAACACTTAAGAGGAAAAGAAGGAAGGTCTGCAGATTTTGGCACTAGCACAGGAATGGGCACGCTGGGTTTGCTGCTCCTCCAGGGTGACTGATCCACACTGTCACACAGAGAGGCCTCCCAGAGAGCAGCAAGGCACTGACTGCAGGAGTGGAACCCACTCAGGCCACCACACACTGGAGGGGGAGTTCCTGCCCTGTTTTCACGTCCCCTGTACTTACTGTGAGATGCACCAAGGCAGACAACAGAAAATATGGGAAAGTGTGCCTGAAATCCTGCTTCTGTCTGGATTGATGGAGCCTGTGTGAATCTGAGCCTCAGCACTCTAAGTCCTACACCCTTGTGCTCCAAGTGTTCATGCCAATAAAACCCAGCAAAGTACAACCCCCTGGCAGAGACCCAACTGAAGCATGGTTGCTACAGAAGGGCAAGAGGCAAGGTTTGGGTTTTTCCTCAATAAAACCTGAATGCAGGCAGGAATAACTGAGCCAAACCTACCAAGAGCTGGGAAGGAACAACAGTGCACATCCTCACAGTGCTGCCCTCATCACTGAGGTCAGGTCAGCTGCCTCCTCTGGGACTGAGCATCCTCATGTTCCCCCTGTGCCAGTCCAGCTTGGTCCAGAGCACAGGACAAAAGCAGGGACTTGAAACCCTGCCCAGCAGAAATAAATAACATTTGGCTCCAGCAGGTCCCTGCAGTCACGATGTGGCTGCACAGACACAACTGCTGTTAAATGGAAGGGGCAGGAAGCTGCAACCAGAATTGCCTCTTGAAACCAACCTAAGTGCAGCTGCTGCTGAAAATACTCACAGGCTTTGCTACTGAGGGTACATATTGATTAGAAAAAGGCAGATAGCTGCTTCTTAATAGCATCATAACTCTTAATTTTTCATCAAGCAGTTGCTGTCCTAGACATCTACTTAGGAGATGGCAATGAAGAGAAATGAGGAGCTGTTAAGCATTCTGGAGGTTTGGAGAATACATGACCACACCATAATATTTAATGGGTATTACAGCTAAATAAAGATGATTCACTCACCATTTGGATGGAACATTTTGGATAGAAACCTAACAGTTGGAGGTTTATTTGGATATTCTTCAGAGAATTCTATTACTAGTTTAAAAGTACCTGTCCAAAAAAAGATAAGGACAATCAGATCAACAAAAAGAACATTTCCAGGAACACAGACAAGAAATTAATTAATGTGCCCCATGATCAATACTTCTTCTCACCATTATATAAACAAACAACCCCAAGTCTGATTTCTTTTCATGTATTTCAAGTGATAATAAAATTTAGGAGTAATAAAGCCAGCAGCAGAAGCTGGCAGAAGTTTGGAGTCTCACTGTATGCATGGCAAAGGCAGCTTGAGCCAACATTCTCCCACTGCCCTCCCCTTTCTCCATGACCCAACATGCTGGTCCCGTGGACTTGGGTGACTTGGAGGCGTTTCATTAAGAAGGCAACTGTGGTGCCAGCAAAAAAAACACTGGAATTTCATCAGCAGCAATCTCAGTCTTTGGAGCTCATAACTGATTCACTGAAAACCTTTATTATGGATCAGTGAATAATTTACTGTAACTCCTCCAACCCAACACAGAGAAAAACCCATCTGCTGCCAATTACTGCAATAATACTATAATTATTAAACTCATTATTCCTCATATGCCTAAGGGAGGTTCATTACACACCAACTTTCATGTTTATGTACAAATTTGGGATTCCCTCGCCCTCACTGAGTTCTATATTCAGAACAATTCAAGGTTTTTCACCTGTTCTTCATTAGGAGCACAGCAATGAATCAAACATGCCAGGAGGATGAAACGAGAAAAGCAGAGTCTTGTTGAGCTCAGCTCTGGAGATGTGGAAACGCATCTGGCAGCACTAGGCCAACATCCCCTGCTAAAAGCTCTGGTGTACAGAGCTTTGTACAGGCTTGATAGCAGCTTCCTAACTAACCATCAGCCACTGACACAAGACACTGCTTAGATCAAGATGCGTATTTTTATGGCCAACAAACCTTCCCTTGCTTGGTTTGTTTCAAATTATATACAGATAACATCTATTCTTTTTTCCAAAGCAGAACAATGTTAATACTGGCAATATTTATAAGAATGACAAAGGATACAAAAGTTAGTGGCTTACCATCTTCAAAAGGTGTCCCTTCTGGCCTGAAAGGTTTTGAAAAGAAACTCCAGTTAAAAGTGATTACCTACTTCCACACAGGCAATAAATAAACTCAGCAAATTTGTATCTTCTTCACCCTCCACGAGATACAGGTAGGGGCAATAATCTAAATACTTAAGAGAGAGCTTTGTTGCATCTGAGACGCTCCTCCACAGTCACTCTGCTATTTGGGATATCTACTTTATCATCATCCCAAATAATGCACGTACCATTATGTGACCAGATTGGAATTAATGAGCAGATTACTAGCAAGCACACTGCAGTTTTATGGAAGGATACCAAGCCAGCTCCCCTTCTGTAGGATACAGAATGTAGCTTCCCAGGCAGAACCTGCACCTCGTCCCACTGGGAATCAATCCAATCACTGCCAATACATCTGGATTTAATGGCCTGGAACATGCAGTGCTTATGTACTTTAAAGAGGAATCCTGCATTTTCAGAACCCAACTCCTACACAGTCTGACCCCTTCATTAAGCCACATGCAAGCTTTATACAACACAAAAAGCTGAACAAATTTAAAGTTTTTCTTCCCTATGCATTCTGCTTTATTCCTGGAAACAGATTGTTACCACAACGGCACCCTTAGTCATTCTTCTAAATTTGCTGACTTTATGTACAGAAAAAAGAGAATAATTGTTAAAACAAACAGCAGATTATTATATTTAGCCCTCTGATATAGAATTTCCTAGTGACCAAAAACTCTTACCCAAATATAACTGCATTCCATTGCATTATATTATTCTCGGATGGTGCACCACTGACACCCACAGGAGGGTCCTCTTGCAATCTAAAAATCACAAACACAGAATGGCAAGTCATATATAAATGAAACACTTCCATCTGCAAGTATAATTCAACAGCAATATCCACATTTTGTAAATATTTTCTCCTTCCAAATCAGAGAACACACAAAGCATTACAAGCAGATTATGGATACTCTGAAAGACAAACCTACAAGGCAATGCACATAAAAGTTTCCTCGTGTTGTACTCTGAGACACTCCAAGAGCCCCACAGGCCTGATTAAGTGTTCAGGGAGCAAAGGATTAACTGTAAAATAACTTAAAGCACCACGGACAGCTGGGATTTACAGAGCTGCATGGTGAACTATGAAAGAGCAATTGCTGCTGGCTGCCACCAGGAAGAGGAGAGCAAGCTGCAGCCACAACCAGGAGCTGAGATCCAGGCAGTGACACTCACACAGAACAAACTGGGATCCAGGCAGTCAGTGGAGCTTTTCCTGCGTTCCCAGATCTGTGTGTGCAAGCTGGCTAAGTTTGGTAGAAGCCTATTTTGACTGGCAAGCCGATTGCTTCAAAAGGGAGCAAGGGGAAAACCTGTGCACTGCTCCCTCCTACCAGTTCAACGATGTGTTTATCTCTACAGCAATCACGGGAGCATTTCGAATTATTTTTAGTTCCCTAATCCTAAGGCACGTTACTTAATGAAAGCCTCATAAACTTGGAGCAGACAGAAATATGTATTGCAGCCAAAGAACAGGATTCAAACACTCCCCTCTGCCCAGTCTTCTGTGTATCAGGGTTTCTGCTTCAGCATCACATGAGACCATGAACAACATAAATCAGCGAGTCCCAAACAACTTGCCCGATCAAACCCGCTCAGTTATGCAAGAATAAGGACAATGCAGTGACTGCCTTTGCCTCACAAGGAATCCTGCAGTGTTACCAGGAAGTTTGATCGCATCACAGTAACTTATGAACAAGCTGCCACAACAAGCTCTGCAGACCCAGGGACACATTTTAACTAAAAGTGGATGTGCAAAGGCAGGTTTATTGAGAGCTGACAAAAGCAGAGGCGGGCAATGCTCCTGCACCGGTACTGCCTCACCTGGGATACCCTCCACGTGTCCATGGATGTCCCAGAGCCCCTCTGAACTCCGTGTTTACATCCCTGCTCTCTGAGCACACGCAGTTCAAGACAGCTCAGGATCAACAGCACAGACCACCTACTATTTTGGTCAGGGAAGGCAGGAACAGGACTCCCTGCTCCGTGACAGCCGGGCTGTCTGCCAGCAGCAGTGCCTGAGCACCGGCCTCACCAACGCATCTGGAAGGTTAAATCAACTTTAAAGCACACGTGCACCCTACTGTCACAGGGGCTAAACTGCACACAGGGCCTGCAAACGGGACCTGGCGGTCTGAAACACCTCAGGAAAATGTGGTGTTTGTAAACCCTTTTTATCAGCCAAAATAAATAAATAAATAAATAAATAAATAAATAAACAAACTGGGTTTGTTTGTTTGTTTTTCCTTTTGGTTTAGTCAAACAAATTAGAGGAATTACAGAATCTGCTGAACTGTTCCGTCTTGGCTGCTCCTGACAATCACAGTATCTGAAAGCAGTTTATATTTGATGATGTGAGTTCACAGCACACGATCTGTTGTTTCAGTGTGAAGTAACATGAGGCTAAACAAATACATAACTAGGAAAGAGGAGAGCAAAACAAAAACTGGCATGAAAAAGCTACATAAGGTCTGGGGGGGGGGTCATATATATATGAAAAATAAATGTGATTTGTGTTTACTTGGTTACACTTTTCCACAGCTTTAAAGTCTTCTCTCCAGCCTTAACTGCAAAATTATTAAAGCAGTCGTTCTATGATTATAAGGGCATAAAACCCACATCTGATTGCAATCTTGAAAAATTACTTAAGACACTCAGACTGAAAAAAAATAAAAATCACGGGTTCATGTCATCTGTGTAACCAAACACAATAAAAAGTCTGAATATCCTGTTTTGATTTGAACAGGAATCAAGAAACACCCTCTTAGCAAACACCAACACTCGCACACAACAGCAGGGGAGGGCCCCACGTCCCAAAAACCTCCTCCTTCTTGGAACTCCACAAACTGGGCTCTTCCTGCTGCAGCCTTGCGTGCAGCTACAATACACGTCAACTGTTTGCTGATGTATTTTCGGGGCCCGGGGATAACATCGCTACGCTAAAAAAAGAGACACTATCAAAGCTGACTCACCTCCAGCTCCTCCCGAGCCAGTCCAGCCCGGAGAAACCCCGGGACGTCCTGTAAATCCTACAGAGGAACCCCCACCCTCCTCCGCACTCTCCAAGTGCCTTTACGTGTCAGACTGGAAACAATTTATCCCCGAGTCAGTGGTTCGGCCATTAACATTTAAAAGAGTGCAGCTAATAACTGCTCCTTTAGGAGTCTGCCTGCATTACACAAAAGATTCCCCACGCAACTTCAGAGAGGGCAGCGTGTGCTTAAAAAAAAACTGATTAAAAACACCGACTTTGGCTATTGCTGCGGACAAACCAGAAGGGCACTTTCGGTTTGCCTGCGTTTCGTTTTTTAAGAGCCCATCCCAAAAAAAAAAAAAAATCTTAAATCTTTCAGGGAGGCGCCGCAAGCCTGGTACGCTCCTAAATTCTGCCCGAGCCATCCCAAAAGCTGAAGCCTTTGGATCCCGGGGGTGTTTGGCGGGATGGGGGGGGGTCGGGAGGTGTCCATGGACACCTGGAAGCACCGGGATTCCCACGGCGACATCCCGACCCCCCGTCCCCCTCCCGGGGCATTCCCGGGGTGCCCTCCTTCCCAGCCACCGCTCCAACTTTAATCCTCACACGCCCCCAGCCGTCGGCGCCGGGGCTCGGCGGCCCGAACAAAGCCCCGCTCCCCTCAGAGAGACCCCCTGCCCTCAGCCCAGCCCCGCTCCCCTCAGCGGGACCCCCCGCTCCCCGCGAGGGACCCCCCCAGCACCGCCCCTGCCCCGAGGGGGGCTCGGCGCCACCCGGCGCTGGGCAGGGAGGCGCGGGAGGGCGGCAGGACCCGGTTCCGTGCCCCGCTCACCTCTTGAAGTCCCGCATCAGCCGCCGCCGGGCCGGGGTGGACATGGCGGGCAAAGAGTCCGCGGCCGCCGCGCCGCCTCGGCCCGCGCTCCCTCCGCGCCCGCCCGGCCGCACAAACAACCCGCAATGGCGGCTCCCTCCGCGCGGGGCGGGGCCGCGGCAGGGCCGGCCCATGTGAGGGCGGCGCGGGGGGGGCCGGGCCGGCCCATGGCCCCGCCGGGGGGGGGGGGGAAGCCTTGCGCAGCTCCGACCGGGAGGAGCTCGGGAAGAACCACCGGGAAAAGGGTCCGGGAAAAGAAGGGGATGATCTGCGGCCAGTCAGCAGTGTGTTGACAAAATCCAGTCGGGCTGGATTTTGTCCGCGCCACGCACACCAGCTCAGCCTGGTGTAAGGGAGCCTCTGCCAAGCACAGGAGCAGTGACTTGTAGTCACATTGCAGGGTTGTAAAGGTTATAAACTTGGCTTCTTCCGTGCTGAATGCTCAGCCCACTTCCCCTCTTTGCAGTAACAGGGTGGTTTGAAAGTTCAAGTTTTTTATCAGTTTTTAATTAGGGGTAATGGCACGTTTTGCCATATGGGTCCCCCAGCCTCTCCCGACGTTCCCTCTAAAGGCAGACGGATGTCCTGGCTCCCAGAGCCCTTCTTTTAATCCCATTACTCCAGCAGACAGAGCAGGTCTCTTTGGATTCGTGACCCAGTTCTTCCTGGAGCCTTGGAAGTTATCCCTGAGCTCGGGCTGGTGTGGTTACATGTGCCTCTGCTGTTCTTCCAGGTGATTTTAAGGAGGTCAAAGCATCGTGGAATAAACACTGTCTGCATCCTCTGCCCCTTCCCTTCGCCTCCAGCCATCCAGGTGTTGGGGCAGCACCAGCCCAGGGTTCAACAGAGCACAAAGCTCGGTTCTGGTTTTTAACAAAGCTTGGGCCAGGCCCACGCTGCAGCACCCACTGACTGGGGGATTTGGGAGAGACTGATGGGACACTGCTCAGAGCTGGTACCTCACACAGGGTGGGGTTTAACTCTGCAAGGATTTACCTCTGGACACCCAACACGCCCCTCATTAAAGCCTTCAGCTGCCAGCAGTGAGATGGAAGTGAAGGGATTCACCCAAAGCCTGGTACTGCAGGGAGAAAGCTTTCTCAAAGGTTTGGTAATAGGAAACTACCATTCCCCAGGCACTAAAACATCACTCTCCACACTAGTGAAGAATGGTCCCTGCCAAGCAATCCCCCCCTCTGGACTTCTCTCCTCCTCCCATCACACAGACATTTTCACTTTATGTTCCACTGCTGCTCCTCTGCCTTTCCACAGCTTATATTTAGCTCCTGCCAAAGCAGACTGTAAAAAAACAAGTGCAAGCTTGGACCTGTACACATAATTAGTGTCATTTAAGAACATTAATTAATTCATCATTAACAAGCAGTGCCCAGACAGGGCATCCCCTGCCCCAAGGGCAGCTCTCTGCCCTTTGAAGCTCGAGTCACCCTCAGCCTGCCCAGCAAAATAAACAAAACCCCAACACCAGCACCAAACTGGAGTTAAACCCGAAATCCATTGTTGTTCCCACCTGGCTTGGGAATCTTGTCAGCAATATCTCATCAGTGACAATATTTCTTCCTCTCTGACACCACTGGGGATCAGTGTGTTGACATTATCTAATGGAACATTTTCTTTTTAATCCTGCCTGGCAGTAACATGTGTGGCTTGCAGTTTTATTAATAAATTGAAAGCTTTTTTTTTAAAAAACTCTGAAGAACCACCTGCAATTTCTGCTCTGTTGATTGCATGGCACATGTATGTTTTAAAATTAATATATATTGTCAGTCCCAACTAACAATTAGAGGGGGGCTCTGGCCTTGCAGAGGTGGTTTCAAATGTCTCAACGTGAAATCTTCACGAAATAAACACTTCAGATTTAAAGCTGATGATAATTATTTCCAGTACTACCTTGCTTAATGAGTTTAAATGCATCACTGCCATTATAATAAAGATTGGATTTTCTCCTTGCCAGACACACCAGCTCACTCTGATTTAACTGAACTTCTGCAAACTACAGGAACAATAACTTGCAGTCAGATTATAAAGGTATAAAGTTGGGTTCTTGCTTCTGTGCTGTATGTTCAGCCCACTTCCAACTCTTTGCAGTAGCTGGATGTTTTAAAAATTTAGTTCTTATCAATTTTTGATGAGGGATAATGGCACATTTTGCCATATGGGTCCCTCAGCTTCTCTGAAGGTTCCCTCTAAATGCAGACTGATGTCCTGGCTCTTGGTGGCATGAAGGAGATGTGGCACCACAGAGCCCTCAATTAAAATAGTTAAAAAAAAAAAAAAAGGATAATTAAAATGACAGATACTTTTATATTGAGTTAAAACTAGCTTTGGGTTTAACCTAAACCTGCTTCAAAATATCAAGAGAAAGAAACGTAAAAATGAAATGGTAAATGGCCCTCAGTGTGAAAAAGTACATTTTTTACTGTGATTCTTTTAGCACAGGAGTTCCTATCTATGATTTATTAGTGTAAATAAAACACAGTCAAGAGGGCATTTTAAGCTACTGAAAGGAGCTGCTCCCTTCTTTGCTCTATGCCTGGCATAGCTGTGTTAGTTCAGAGACTGGAGATGCACTGTGAAAAATAATGTGGTAAATGTGTGTGAACATTGGAGGAAGGCTGAGGGAGCAGAAACAAAGACTTTTAGCATGTTTCCAAATTAATGACAATCTTTAATTAAGCAAATTATAGTTCCTGTTATCAGCCTTTTAGAGAGGAGGTCTCTATGAATGGGAATAAAAAGCCATGGCAAAACTGCTTTTCTTCTTTTACCAACAAGGGTTTCATCATAAGAATATTGTCACCCTGATTCGAGTATTTAGGAAGTAAAAATAGACTCAGTGTTGGAATTTATCCATCATACAGTTCCAGAGGAGCTTCAGCATTATTTGGATAACAAAAGGCTTAAAAATACCTCTTCCAATTGGAAAAAGCATCTGAGTACCTTCACAACAATAGTGTAAGATCTCAGGGAAAGGCTGGTCATAAATAAGATGTTATGGCTTCTGGATCACATCTTTTCTTTATGGTAGTGATTTGCCATGCAGATATCAAAAGTGATGATTCTTTATTAAGAACAAGGGTTTGTTTCACAGTTTGAGGCCTCCAGCTGGTGTGAAATGACCTGCAGAACTGGAACAACACAGTAAAGAGACCTTGGATGGGTGATGGGAGGAGGACTTGGGGTAGCAGGGAATTCGGACCCTCCTCTGAAATTTGGAAGAGTTCCAAGTGTTCAGTGCTTTGCCTCCCCACCTTGTCCTTCTCCTTCATGCTGCCTCATCTCTTTTAATCTCTTCTGGTTTATCCTGTTGGTAGGTTGGGTACTGTGCCAGGGCCCTGCTCTCCTTTGCTCATCACCTACATTAGCAGTTGCTAATTGCAGTGGGATCAGGGCATCGATGACTTTGGGAAATGAGGGCACTGTGTGCCAGTTCTGATGTAGCAGGAGAGCTTTTTTCAGTCCCAGAACTTTTAAAACAAACAGAAGCTGATTCTTAGTAAACTCTTTTGGGGGTTATTTTGGTGGTTTATTTTATTTTTTCCCTTCCTTTGTCATACACCACGATCTCACCCAAGAATATTTGGTTAACACAAAGTGGAATTACTGAACTTTCTGATTTAGGTTTTGCTTAAACATGAGCTACCCCTGGTGATGTTTATAGTGATGATGTGGTTACATGATGGTACAGGGCTCCTGAACTGGTTTCAAAAGGCATGGAGAATATATTTGAGGGTTTTTTTGGGAGGGGGATGGCACCTCAAATTCAGCTGGTAGAGAAGAAGGTGTCTCCTGCACATGAAATTCTGGATGCTATGTCAGGTTAGCAAAAGGAAAACAATCATCTAAAAGCTAAATTAAAATGGTGACATATAATATGCCTACATGTGAGGTCATGGTTGCTCTGGTTGCAGATTGAAAGCAGTGCAAGGTTTTATCTCTAAATACAGCACTGTTGTTGTACCGACCAGACAGCAGAGTTGTGTTATAAATCTCTAGAAGATGGTAATCTGTATTATCCCCAGGTATCCTGTGCCTGTTTGCCCTGCAGGTGGTTTTCCATATTGTCCATATCAAAAACATGAGCCCTGTGGAGCAATGCAAGAGAAAATGCTGGAGAAGTGAGGAAGGAGCAGGGTGGAACTGTGGGGGCACAGCACACAGGGTTAACAGCAGGGTGACTTGGAAGTTCTTCCAAGGGTGTACTTAGTTCCCACTAAAGATTTCATTCTGTATTTCATAAAATTCTGTTATTTATCACCTACTGTTAAGGAATTCTGTGGAGGTTTGGAACTGTGGAGAGGAGGGATAACTCCTGTTATAAACCATGCTCTCATTCGTGCTGTTACATATTGATTACCATTATTCTTAGCAATAATAACAACAACAACAACAACAACCGTGCCCTGCAGTAGTTATTGTGGCAGTGCTGAACTATAAATATTGAGGCAAACAGCTGCTTAACAAGCCAGGGTAATTCCCTCAGTCTCAAACCTTGGAGAGGGTTTATAGAGCACAGTGAGTCAGCGGGAAGGAGCTGCTCTTGCACATCCCTCTTCTCCGAGGGGAAGCACAGGGAGGAACAGAGCAGGCCAGTTGGATTCATCTCAGTTTGGAAGACTGGTATACAATCTTTACATCTCTTTTAAGCAGCTGATTTATTATCAGTTCACAGTGTCCTGTTTGTCAAGCAGCTGGACTCCTCTGCAGAGGTTTTTTTATAGAGCCCAGGATTTTCAGGGATGTTGTTTCCTGAAGTCCAGAATCCTAAAAATGTAGGAAAAAAAGGTTTCCCCAGCTCCCTGCCTTACTGGAGATGCTATTTCTTATCAGAAAGCCCATTTCCAGTTAGAAACCCTTCCCAGTTACATTCTGTTGCCCTAACTCCTGTGGGGAGTTCAGAGGGTTGAATTGGGGTGCCCACACAGGAGGAACGTGGCACATCAGGAATTGTTAATTAGAGAAGTTCAGAAATGCCAAGGAGATTCAGAAGTGTAAGTGCCATCCACAGTTTTCTAAGCATTGCATTTAATTTAAATTCACTGATGTTATA